TAGTTTCTTAAACAATGTGGAATCTAAAACCGTATTGATTAACTTTTTGTATTGTGGTATATTGAAATACTTTTGGTCTGTTTGGTACTTTGAATGGATCTTTTAAAACCATATGTGATTTATAGCATCCTGTAAATGTTGACATGTTTTATTATAGAACATCAAACAAATCACATTTGTTGATATCACTGCTAATCTCATCAGAAAAGTTGTTGAGTATCACATAGCTGTCAAGCTTATGGTGGCAGATACTGATTTTTACTTGAAAGCTTAACTTTTATCTTTGGAAACGTATTCCTTTGAAATGAGAAGATCACTTCCTTCAGTTTAAAAAAAAGTCTACCAAATACCCAAGTGTTAATAACAACTTGTTATTACTGGTTGTTAATCACTGTCTGTTGTTCTTTCATTCTTAAAAATGGTGTTTCTTGAAAAAAAGTACATAGTTCAGCCTGTAACTCAAACAATCACACAGGTGCTCTCCTGTACACAGCAAAAATGCTTTGTGCATACTTTCTATTTTCTCGCACTAAATGTTAAAAAGAGATGTACTCAAGCATCAGAATTTAATAAGATTAATAATTTTTATTGCTTCATTAAGGACATGTTACATGAAACTAGATGGAATTTTTTTCTGTACTCTCAAATGGTGATGAAGATTACAGTGATTATAGTTTGTCATTGCTTTGACTCTTGCCATATACTAGCAATTTTACCATTGCTTCTGCACCAGCATCACAAATATCAGCCTAGGGAAAAAGGAAAATAAAGACTTACTTAGAATGGTTTTGACCTGAAAGATTCCCTAGAAGGTTCTTATTGACCCCAGGAGTCCAGGAACCACACTTTGGGAATCCCTGTAATAGATTACTGTTTTTTTACAAATTATTGGAGAAGTGTATTATCAAAAATTTCAAAACTTTAACTATTCCTATGTATTTTTTCATCTGAAAAAAAATTCTGGCAATACTAAAGGTCTGTAAATCTTCTGAAAATATGTGCATAATTATTTACTAATGTTCATCGTTCTGAGAAGAAAGTCCCAGCTTTCATCAAATACATGAAGGAATTTGTAATCCCCTACACAATATACATGTATACATATGTGTGTATGTGTGTGTGTATATGTGTATTAGATACATATACATAGTATACACACAATGTATATATGTGTATGTGTATATATATATATATATAAGATCAAAGGTAATCTTTTTCTAATCTATATCCTTATCTTTTATTTGCTTGATTATCAATTTCTGAGAGAGAGGTGTCAAAATCTCCCTCTGTATTTAATTCAAAATAATTCATTGGCCACATGTTGATAATTATTGAAGCTGAGTGATGGGTGATGGATACATGGTAATTCATTATAATATTCTGTCTACTTTTGCATATGTTAAAATTTTTCCATAAAAAGGTTTTTAAAATATCAAGTAGGTCAGTCACAACATTACTTTGATAATCTGTTTTGAAAGTTAATCTTAAAATGTTCTTATGCTCCAGTTAAAGGGAAAAGAAATTACCTCCTTTCCATTTCTGTCCCGATTCTTTTGCTCTGTTTAACCTGGAGGAACAGAATGGAAGGCCAGCTACTTCCATAACAGCTTTTCATAGCCGCCTCTTTGACCCTTTCTTATAATTCTTTGGAGGATTATTTTTTTGTGGGGATATCTTTACTAGATTTTCTGATTTCTACTTTTAAGATCATAATTTACATATTGCAAATGTTGCTTTCCCCATATAAGTTATCAGGGCATAATAATAGTAATTTTAGATTTTATTCACTCTTTTACAGGTGGTTGTTGGAGATCATGATGGAGTAGTTATGTGCTTTGGCATGAAGAAAGGAGAAGCAGTGGTATGTGTAGCTTTTGAATGCTCCTGTAAAATTTTTCTAAGGCATAATATAAAATGGGTTATGAGGGAAGTGGTTATATGAAGTATGAGGCTGCAGGCCACATAAGAGTCATTTGTTAGCCATTTGCAAAACATCTGTGACAGCCTACCGCAATGTATTCATTTTCTATGCTGTGTAACAAATTGCCTCAAACTTAGAGGCTTAAAAGGACATACATTTATTATCTAACAGCGGCAGGAGTCCAGACTGGAGGCCTCATGTGGCTGCAGTGTAGATGTCAGCAGGCTCTACTCCTTTCTGGAGCTCAGTGTCCTGTTCTAAGCCCACAGGGTTGTTGGAAGAATTCAGTTCTTTATTGTTGTTATACTGAGGTCCCCATTTTATTGCTGTCTGTAAGCTAGGGACTGCTTTCGGCACTTTGAGGCCCCCATAGTTCCTTGTCACGTGGTGACAAGGCATTCTTACAACGAGGTGACTTACTTTAAGTCAACAGGAAAATCTGTCCAGTCTGCTAAGATGGAGTCTTTTGTAATATAATGTAACATGGAAGTGACTATCACGTCACGTTGCCACTTAATGGAGCCTAATCAAGGAAGTGGTTATTACATCATCATATTCACAGATCATAATTTACAAGTGATTGGTCTGAAATGTGAATTCTTATATTCATTATGCATTATATGGAATTTGTAAAAAGATGAAGAGGGTAAAAACTATCAGAAACTGAGTGTTTCCATTATTTGTATATTTTTCCAGATATTTTATTCTCTGTATATGAAGTCAATGGGAGTGGGGGAGGGGGAAGGGAAGAAACTGATGTCAATAATAAAATAGAAAATAACCAGGAAGAAATAAATAATGCAAATGTTATTTCCAATTAAATAGAGAGGTATTAAGTTATACACCCAGGTTTTCAGTAAATTCTGTAGTCCTTCATTTATACTATCAAAATTTGTAACATTGTAAGGCAACCAGGAGAGATGAGTTTTAAAAAGATGACTGAAGTGTAAAAACAAGTCCATTGGAACCAGCTGGGGAATCTTGTTAAAATGCAGATTCTTATTCAGTAGATCTGAGGTTGGGCCTGAAAGCCTGCATTTCTGATAAGGTGAGTGATATTAATGCTGCTACTGAGTGGGCCATACTTTTGAATTGCAAGAGTTTAGATTTTAATGATGTCATTGAAATATGTGTGGGAATAAACATTACAAAGTTTGAAGATGTTTAGCAAAAAAACCCAGAGGACCACTAAAGTAAATACATTTGCACTTAAAGGTGTTCCTTATTGTAGAACTATAATATTTTGTAGGTTTAAAATCACAGGATTTTTTATAGTAAAGGAAAATGCTTGCAATAAATTTATGTACCTAATTTTTTCCCCAATGATTTTTGCAGACAGTGTTCAAGACTTTACCTGGGCAGAAGATTGCAAGGCTGGAACTAGGAGGGGTTCTTAACACACCCCAGGAGAAAATTTTTATTGCTGCAGGATCTGAGATTAGAGGCTTCACAAAGAGAGGAAAACAGTTCCTCTCTTTTGAAACAAACCTCACTGAAAGCATTAAAGCTATGTATGTTTATTCTCTTTTTGTTTTTACATGTCCACTTACAATATTTTGGATAGGTGGCAGACATCTGATTAAGTATCATATCTTAATAGGTTATCTAGGAAATAATTAAAGGTACTTTATTAGTCAGAAATTAAATTTGACCTAGAATCAATACAAAAATCCATTCGTTGTTGACATGTTGTTTTCTTTTTAAGACTTTCACAGTATAGATTCAGTTTTGACTAGTTGGTCCAGTTATGATTCATGATCAGAGTGTAAAAGAAGTGAAAGAAATCTCCAGATATTTAGGTTTCCATTGCTTTGCTGTCTCTGGTAGTTCTGGTTTTGAGGTACTATCATTTTGTTAAAAGTCTGGCCATAAAAGTTAGTGACTATCAAAAAGATAGAATTTCAGGTGAGTCAGATTAAGACTCTAAGTGAAAAATAGCTCCCTAAATGGCTCCCTGATATGTGAAATTTTGCAATTAAAATTTTAGTTTTTGAATCATGGAGAGCTGGGAGGGGCTTTAAAGTTTATCTAATCCACTGTTCTTTAATCCTGCTATTTAGGAGAATACTATGGAAACTTAAAACAGTAGATTCCTTGTCCCACCTCATACCTGCAGAATCAGAAGTATTAGGAGTGGGTTAAAAGGAAAAAGTTCTTCATCTGAATCCTATGCAGCCGTGTTGTATAAGCAGCCAGACCTTAATTTGGAAACTGCTGATTCAGTTCAGAGTTCAGTGTAATTCACAGCTGTCTTGTGTAATTTTATATAATGCATAGATAGCATGCGTCCTGGTATCTGGGCTGTAAAACTTTGCTTTGGTGAGACTGGATAAGAATTAATGGTAAGTGGAAGCAATTCAGTAGTTTAACAAGAATGTCATTCTTTTGAAATGCTTTTCTAGATAGACATGGCCAGTGATAATTGTGAAATACTAAAACCAAAGTAATTAATTATTGGCATACCTCTACATTCAGAAATGAATGTGGACCAAGGTGTGAGGAAGATAAGGAGTTTCCCAGCCAATAGCCTCTTTTGCTAGTTTCTTAAATGTTTTTACTTGAGTGGGAGAGGAAAGGTTCTTTACTAATTTTTAAAAATTTATTATCTGAATCTCCACATTTATAAGGTTGCATGGGAAAACAAGATTATAACTTTGAAAATATTCAATAAGAAAACTGACTGCATATAAAACTGATTACCACTCATGAATCCTTCCCTGCCTAATGTTTCTATACTCTTGTCAGCAATAGTGATTGCCAAGTAGTGCTTTGAATAATATAATGCATATAAAATACAGATGGATTTCAAATCTTGAAAAAGATACAGAATTTCAAGTTGATAAAAATGATATTAAGAGGATTACTGAAATCATATGCAGAGCCACAAAGTGAAGCCACTTAAGTAATAATTAAAGAAGATAAAATCAGTGAGGATCGTTATAGGATAAGGAATAATTGTATCAAAAAATTTAAATAGACCTTAGAGATGGAGAAATAGGAGAAACCTTCAAATAATATTCTTCTCTTTATGACCACATGGTGATAGCTATCTAGAAGTGAAAGATAATAGACTAATATATAATTTTTGTCAAAATATTTCAGGTCCCCCAGTGAAAACTTGATTTATTCTAAGAATTAGAACATAGTTATGACTATTATTTAAATTTTGTTAAATATAATTTGAAATGAACTTACTTCTTTTTTCAAATTAAAATTCTAATGAAATCATTTTCCAATATTTATTATTTAGTTTCAAGTAGATTAACTTCAAATAGCCTTTTTCAGGCTGTTTAGTGTGTTAGTAAGAAACTGTAGAGTAAAAAACTATCTGAGTTGCATTCTGCTCTACTATCTACTAGTTGTATGCCTTTAGGAAAGAATTTACTTAACACTTTATCATTACCCTTAAAAAGGGCTAGTAATGGTCCCTAGTTTATATATAGAGTTCTGAGGATTGAGCTAATACATGTAAATCACTTAGCACAGAGTACACATTCAAAAAAGTTACTTTTTGATAGATTGCCTTCAGATACAGACAGATTATCATAATCTTGTCTTTTTTTCAGTTTTTCTGAGCTCAGTTTTTTAGAAGCTTGAGGCTTTAAGATTCTCATTTTCAGCTTTCAAAATCAGTGTTATACTAAAGGGCTAGAAATTAAGTGGGGGAAAATGAAAAACAAACTGTTCTCTGAGTCTGTGGTAGAATGATAGTAAACTGTATATAAATAAACTTTTATTTTTATCTCTGAAAATAATTCAGGAGTTTCCTTTGCTTATTTTTTAAAATGTGGATATCTTAAATTACTTTTAATATTCTTAGGCACATATCTGGCTCAGACCTTTTTCTCAGTGCAAGTTACATCTATAACCATTATTGTGATTGCAAAGACCAACATTATTACCTTTCTGGGGACAAAATCAATGACGTCATCTGCCTTCCAGTGGAAAGAGTACTTCGTGATGTTCCTGTGTTGGCCTGCCAGGACAGAGTGCTCAGAGTTTTACAGGTTGCTGTTATTTTTTTTTTAATTTTTCATAATTTAAGTAAATGAATATTGATGAACAATCAGTACATCATTAGGATAATGACAGTGCAATTGAATAAAGTCTAGATGGTTATTCTGTGCCACAACAAGCTACCTCACTCTTTGGAACTTCATAGTCAGAGAGCCATTTCTCGGCATTAGCCCTTTTATAGAAGGAAAAATCCAGTGATTCTATGAAGTGTTTTTTTCTCTCTGGAAAATTAAAGTAATGTTCAAATTTCACTCTAGCAGCATGAATGATTGATTTCTCCCCTAAGCCTGTGCTCTCAAATACGAGTTGTTTGAGTAAGACTTTTAATAGGAGCTAGCTCTCATTCAATTACAGATTGATCTGGCTGCATTCTAGGATTCTGCTTTGTTTAATAGGAAGAGATCCATATGCTTATTTAAAAACAAAAATCACTAAGGATTTGTGGAAAGTAAAAAGTGGAAGTCTTTCCTCTGCCCTGCACACTTCTCCCCTACTCCCCATCTACCTTTGTGGGCAATCTGTTGCCCCAAAGGTAACCTTTTTTCAACAGTTTTGTGTGTATTCTTTTGTGTTTATATAGTTAGATGTAAATATCTGTGAATTTGGAGGGGGAGGTAATTAGGTTTATTTATTTAAGTATTTATTTTTTTAGTGGAGGTACTGAGGATTGTGAAAGACTAAGCACACATTCTACCAATTGGCTATGCCACTCTCCCCTTGTATGTTTAACATTTTTAAACAATAATAATATACTATATTTATTATAATTTTATGAATATTTTTTCATTGAATGATTTATCATAGATATTTTTTCCATGTGAATTGATTATTTCTGCCTCGTTCTTTGACAGCTTCACAAATACCATACACTAAATGAAAGAATTGTAAGCAGCAAAATGGAAGAAAAGACAAATAAAAGAATTTAACTTGTTTACTTATCCAAATAGCAGGTCATTCTGCCTCTTACTGGAGTGGGTTTTGGAAATACCCAAGGCAAGGCCAGAATTTTCCTTAGGAAGTAATTCTGGGTCTGTTTGAATGTGCTCTAAGTAAAGCTCTCAAGTTAGGACAAAAGAAACAACTTGTTCACGGAAGCATTTGATAGGGAGATTTACCAGGACCAAGTTTTCAGGTAAACAAAGTACTTAAAAGAAAAAGTATTGAAAGTGGAGAATATTTTAAATATTTCTTTCCTTGATCTTTTTACTTTATCTATATATGTGTATATACACACATGTATTATTATAAAATGAGTTAACATATGCAAAATTGCTAACAAATCCAAGTTGATATTCATAACCTAATTTTTTTTCAGTAGTTTTAATTCTAGGGTTCTTTATATAAATATTGATGTTATCAATGAGTTCCTATATTATTTTAGGTTTGTATTCTGTTTTAGTTTTAAAATACTTGTTCTTCTTCAGGGATCTGATGTGATGTATGAAATTGAAGTTCCTGGCCCACCTACTGTTTTAGCACTGCACAATGGAAATGGCGGTAATCAGGGTTTCATTTTTCATAATCAAATAGGGAGAGAGTTATATTATTTAAGTCTAGATATTTCAGGTTTTTAGTCATTTATATGTTAAGTGAAAACGGGAAATTGTAGAAAGAGATAGTTGTCTTCTAACTTGCCAGTAACTAACAGTAATGAGTTACTGAACTTTAATTTTCAGTTTCCTCATCTTAAAATTAGTTGATGAGGAGAGATCTTATCTCTTATGATCATAAAATTCTCTGAATATATGACCATCCTTCCAAATTAATTCAATTAATTAAAATCTGTCTTTTAGTATTTTTAAGTGAAATTTTTCCATGAAAGTTAATATATATGAAAATGTTTTAATTTTAAAGAGATATTATGAGTTATGAGATAACTGTTATATATTGATTTTAATTATAACTAGGTGACTCTGGAGAAGACCTTTTGTTTGGAACATCAGATGGAAAACTTGGGCTTATTCAAATCACTGCTTCTAGACCAATACACAAGTGGGAAATTCGAAATGAGAAGAAGAGGGGAGGTATGTTCTTCATGTAGATTCTGAAATTCCAGTGATTATTAAATAAAGTATCCTAAATTACAGTTTTCACTTTGTTTTATTTATTAATATTTATAGCAGATTTAGCAATTTACAGAGCCACCTCAGGTTTATTTACTATTTGTTTATTTAACAGGCCTACCATACTTTGGGTATAATGTTTTAAAGTAAGAAATGCTAACAGTAATTTATAGACTAATTTCCATCTGTAACATCAGTCTATGCTCAAATCTGTTTTTCATTGTTTGGTGTAGGGAGTTAATTAATTGGAATTTGGGAGTACTTGGTATGAGGCAAAGAAGTACCGTGGGTCAGGGAATAGTCCTGTTTTCTAAGGAATTTATACCTTTCTAAGGGGAATTTATATCTGACTTAGTAGGTGGTGAGATGGCTACTTATAGATACAGCATATTTATTCATGTGTTCCTTTATTCCTTCAACAAATACTTTTTATGGGAGAGAGAGGATAAACAAATGAATAAATAGGATAGCTTCAATTAGTCACCTGAAGAAAATTTAACAGAGTAATATGTTTGAGAGTGATGGGTGGAAGAAGGAAGGCTACTTATAGACTGAGGGATCATGGAAGGTGTCTTACAAGAGGTAAATTTTGAGTTCAGATCTGATTTATAAGAAAATGAGTGAGTAGTTTAGGAGATTTAGGGAAAAAGAATGTCAAGGAAGAGGAAAAAATAAAGGCAGAGGACTTG